CGTTGTCTGTACAGCAAAGTTCTGACATGTTATATGGCTGATCCGCCTGAGCCTCCAACTCAGGGACTGTTAGTTTATGCCCTAACTGCTAACTACCTACTGACATAGATAATATGTCTACTGATGATCTAATGAGAGAACAAACAAATAACCTAATTACACACTATCAACTGACAAGACTAATAAATAATCTAACTAATGACTATATACTGACAAAACTAACATGATGTGACTAATGACCGGCCGGTATGATCAACACTATATACAAAGTGCACTGCGCAAAAAACCCCAGAAAGCAAATACATAACAGGCAAATTCTTAATTATTGCATTGCATACAAGAACATAATCCAAAATAAATTTTGGTTAGCTTGTTCACAGCATAGGTATCCTCTTCTCTTCATATATATAAATGTCATTCACAAAACGCACAATGGAATATACAGAATGTGACACGCGTTTCAATCAGAGTCAATATCACTTGCACAATACAAGAGTCTCAAATATCTACAAGCCAAGTAGTAAGCTCAAGGCTGAAACTCATGTGTAACAGTGTCTGGTTGTGTACCGTAGTGTTACATTACTTGGTCATTACGGTTCCCTTCCATCTATGGAAAGTTGATGTCCATCATTGTCTCTTGTCACTGGTTGCATCACTGTTACTTCTGAACATCTACATCCTGCCGACGACGCCAATGTAACCGGAGTGGTTTGGTATATACCACAAAGGCAAATAGTTTTCGTAGATGTCAGTTTAATGGCAATAACTGAAGAAGGCCCATTGCATCAAAATACGCTACAATACTTCATGGGCCAATACATGTGAGGCTTAGCAATAAGTACTACAATCATATATAATCAATACAATCACTATTCATTAATCAGGTCTCAGAGTAGACATGTGTATATGTATATAATGTTTATATTTCAAGATACACGTGTAGCATCATACAAGTACATAACATGATTATTTACAATATAATATGAAAGAACCCTCACCGAGTGTATGGCACTGTGCCCGTTACCATCACAAACGTCAGGAACTATGGTGGCCACACCTGAACATAAACATATACAAATCCAATAATATATAACATTCTACATCTGTACATTATCAATCTACTGTACATAAAATATCTGTTCTAATAAGCCATCCCATCATACATACATTCATTCATACATGCAAAGTTTGGCGATTAGTTTAAAGAAGTAGATGTACACATTAGGTTTACCTACACAATAAGTTAGATAACATCCTCGTGGGAATGCTGTCTAAGATTACCTGCAATACACTTACATATATAAAGTATTGCAAAGACCTAGTTATGCTGCATGTAACAGATAGTTAATTTGATTAATATTTACCACATATAACATGATACATGCTTTAAAGGAAGTTAAGAAATAATACATACACACTAAACATGAAAACATAAAATACACAATCCAAATATAAACTAACCTGTTATAAGCTGTTACTAGCTGTGACCAGTGACCAGACAGACTGAAGTGAAAATGATAGCTGACCCACAAAACACCCTGCTATTGAAACTAAGGGGCCTGGGGCTGGGGCAAGACAATAGAGACAATAGACAACGTAAGCGCAAAGATGACCGTGCTATTGTGAACGTGAAGCAGGTTAGATTGAGTGGTTAAGCTAGGGCTAGACTTAGTGATTAAAATACAAATTAAAATACACTTGCTTATATATACATAATTACATACTCCTACATGAATCTAAAACAGTGTATGAATCTAAAAGAGTGTAAGAGTCTAGAACAGTGTATGAATCTAAAACAGTGTATGAATCTAAAACAGTGTAAGGATCTAAAACAGTGTAAGAATCTAAAACAGTGTAAGAATCTAAAACAGTGTAAGAATCTAAAACAGTGTATGAATCTAAAACAGTGTAAGAATCTAGAACAGTGTATGAATCTAAAAGAGTGTATGAATCTAGAACAGTGTAAGAATCTAGAACAGTGTATGAATCTAGAACAGTGTAAGAATCTAGAACAGTGTATGAATCTAAAAAGAGTGTAAGAGTCTAGAACAGTGTAAGAATCTAAAACAGTGTATGAATCTAGAACAGTGTATGAATCTAAAACAGTGTAAGAATCTAGAACAGTGTATGAATCTAGAACAGTGTATGAATCTAAAAGACTGTAAGAGTCTAGAACAGTGTAAGAATCTAAAACAGTGTAAGAATCTAGAACAGTGTATGAATCTAAAACAGTGTAAGAATCTAGAACAGTGTATGAATCTAGAACAGTGTATGAATCTAAAACAGTGTAAGAATCTAGAACAGTGTAAGAATCTAGAACAGTGTATGAATCTAGAACAGTGTAAGAATCTAAAAGAGTGTAAGAGTCTAGAACAGTGTATGCAGAATCTAAAACAGTGTATGAATCTAAAAAGAGTGTAAGAGTCTAGAACAGTGTAAGAATCTAAAACAGTGTATGAATCTAGAACAGTGTATGAATCTAAAAGAGTGTAAGAATCTAGAACAGTGTATGAATCTAGAACAGTGTATGAATCTAAAGAGTGTAAGAATCTAGAACAGTGTATGAATCTAGAACAGTGTAAGAATCTAGAACAGTGTATGAATCTAGAACAGTGTAAGAATCTAAAACAGTGTAAGAATCTAGAACAGTGTATGAATCTAGAACAGTGTAAGAATCTAGAACAGTGTATGAATCTAAAAGAGTGTAAGAGTCTAGAACAGTGTAAGAATCTAAAACAGTGTATGAATCTAGAACAGTGTATGAATCTAAAAGAGTGTAAGAATCTAGAACAGTGTATGAATCTAGAACAGTGTATGAATCTAAAACAGTGTAAGAATCTAGAACAGTGTAAGAATCTAGAACAGTATATGAATCTAAAAGAGTGTAAGAGTCTAGAACAGTGTAAGAATCTAAAACAGTGTAAGAATCTAGAACAGTGTATGAATCTAAAAGAGTGTAAGAATCTAGAACAGTGTAAGAATCTAAAACAGTGTATGAATCTAAAAGAGTGTAAGAGTCTAGAACAGTGTATGAATCTAAAACAGTGTATGAATCTAGAACAGTGTATGAATCTAAAACAGTGTAAGAATCTAGAACAGTGTATGAATCTAAAACAGTGTATGAATCTAGAACAGTGTATGAATCTAAAACAGTGTAAGAATCTAGAACAGTGTAAGAATCTAGAACAGTGTATGAATCTAAAAAGAGTGTAAGAGTCTAGAACAGTGTAAGAATCTAAAACAGTGTATGAATCTAGAACAGTGTATGAATCTAGAACAGTGTATGAATCTAAAACAGTGTAAGAATCTAAAACAGTGTATGAATCTAAAACAGTGTAAGAATCTAGAACAGTGTATGAATCTAAAACAGTGTAAGAATCTAGAACAGTGTATGAATCTAAAACAGTGTAAGAATCTAAAACAGTGTATGAATCTAAAACAGTGTATGAATCTAGAACAGTGTAAGAATCTAAAACAGTGTAAGAATCTAGAACAGTGTATGAATCTAAAACAGTGTATGAATCTAAAACAGTGTATGAATCTAAAACAGTGTAAGAATCTAGAACAGTGTAAGAATCTAAAACAGTGTATGAATCTAAAACAGTGTAAGAATCTAAAACAGTGTATGAATCTCAAAAACAGTGTATGAATCTAGAACAGTGTATGAATCTAAAACAGTGTAAGAATCTAGAACAGTGTAAGAATCTAAAACAGTGTAAGAATCTAAAACAGTGTAAGAATCTAGAACAGTGTATGAATCTAAAACAGTGTATGAATCTAAAACAGTGTAAGAATCTAAAACAGTGTAAGAATCTAAAACAGTGTATGAATCTAAAACAGTGTATGAATCTAGAACAGTGTATGAATCTAAAACAGTGTAAGAATCTAGAACAGTGTATGAATCTAAAACAGTGTAAGAATCTAAAACAGTGTATGAATCTAAAACAGTGTAAGAATCTAAAACAGTGTATGAATCTAAAACTGTGTATGAATCCAAAACAGTGTATGAATCTAAAACAGTGAATGAATCTAGAACAGTGTAAGAATCTAAAACAGTGTAAGAATCTAAAGCAAGATTTGAAGGTGGGGATATTATCATTGCTGTACAGCTGAAGCTGGGGGTATTATTACAGTGCACTCTGTCTAATTCGACCAGCTTGGGACCGCCTAAAAGTCCGAATTATACAGTAGTCCGAAGTACACAGATTTTAATGGAGTTATCTCCCTATTATCAGCAGAATTAAAATTATAAACTATTTTTCGCAATGTTATTGAAAACAACGATTCTCGGACACCTGTTTCGGCAGCGGGTCCACAATAACATTGTCAAAGAGCAAAGTAACGATGTTTTGAGGAATTCATGAAATAAATTGAATAAACTAATGAATGAAATCAACAACAACATTCATAAAAGTTGTCTATTACTATTTCCATCTTTTTGTGCAATCATATAATGTAAGTCAAGTCACTGACAAAATACACAAACCAATCAACGGAATGTTTATTCAAGGTTTATTGGCCAAGGACTTCCCGCCAGTCCCGGAATTATATAGCAATGTTTTACATGTAACTACCTTATCGGGCCGACACTTTGGTCCGAAATCCGAAATAATGAGAGTCTGAGATACAGAGCTTGTTCATTATGACAACAAAGAAGGATTACGTCGGGACCGCGTGAGTTCAGTCCTGTTTATACAGCAATCCGAGAAAGACAGAGTCCGAGTTGGACAGAGTGCACTGTACTGCTGTAATGGAAGTTGGGGGCATTATCATTGCTGTACAGCTGAAGCTGGTGGTATTATCATTGCTGTTCAGCTGAAGCTGGTGGTATTATCATTGCTGTACAGCTGAAGCTGGTGGTATTATCATTGCTGTTCAGCTGAAGCCGGTGGTATTATCATTGTTATTCAGCTGAAGCTGGGGGTATTATCATTGGGGTTATTATTAGTGAGTCGTGCTCACATGTTTTCACTTGTTAGTATTTTCTGTTGTCATTTCAGTACATCACAGACACACATATTGATGAGATGTGGCAGGATTTTCAAGTTGAACTGTTCACAGGCAAATACCTTCCCCCAAACCCCTATACCAGACTTGTCACCAGATGTCGGGAGTCTGTCATGAGGTCAGTGTAGTAGAGGTTACCACGGAAACACCCCCTGACCTCATGTTACCCTCCCCTTAAGGTCATATAATGCAAGGGTTTCCAGAGGGGGAGAGTTGTCATTAGGTCATAATGTCTGTGTACAAAAGGGGAGTAATGTCAGGTCACAATTACTGTGTATACAATAGGGGAGTAACATCAGGTCACAATTACTGTGTATACAACAGGGGAGTAACATTAGGTCACAATTACTATGTATATAACAGGGGAGTAACATCAGGTCACAATTACTGTGTATACAACAGGGGAGTAACATCAGGTCACAATTACTATGTATATAACAGGGGAGTAACATCAGGTCACAATTACTGTGTATACAACAGGGGAGTAACATCAGGTCACAATTACTGTGTATACAACGGTGGGGGGACACATCAGGTCACAATTACTGTGTATACAACAGGGGAGTAACATCAGGTCACAATTACTGTGTATACAACAGGGGAGTAACATCAGGTCACAATTACTGTGTATACAACAGGGGAGTAACATCAGGTCACAATTACTGTGTATATAACAGGGGAGTAACATCAGGTCACAATTACTGTGTATACAACGGTGGGAGGGGGGACACATCAGGTCACTATTACTGTGTATATAACAGGGGAGTAACATCAGGTCACAATTACTGTGTATACAACAGGGGAGTAACATCAGGTCACAATTACTGTGTATATAACAGGGGAGTAACATCAGGTCACAATTACTGTGTATACAACGGTGGGGAGGGGACACATCAGGTCACTATTACTGTGTATACAACAGGGAGTAACATCAGGTCACAATTACTATGTATATCAGGGGAGTAACATCAGGTCACAATTACTGTGTATATAACAGGGGAGTAACAATTACTGTGTATACAACAGTCACAAGGTTACTACTGTGTATATAACAGGGGAGTAACATCAGGTCACAATTACTGTGTATACAACAGGGGAGTAACATCAGGTCACAATTACTGTGTATATAACAGGAGTAACATCAGGTCACAATTACTGTGTATACAACGGTGGGGGTAACATCAGGTCACTATTACTGTGTATATAACAGGGGAGTAACATCAGGTCACAATTACCGTGTATACATCAGGGAGTAACATCAGGTCACAATTACTGTGTATACAATAGGGGAGTAACATCAGGTCACAATTACTGTGTATACAACAGGGGTAACATCAGGTCACAACACTGTGTATACAACAGGGGAGTAACATCAGGTCACAATTACTGTGTATATAACAGGGGAGTAACATCAGGTCACAATTACTGTGTATATAACAGGGGGAGTAACATCAGGTCACAATTACTGTGTATATAACAGGGGAGTAACATCAGGTCACAATTACTGTGTATATAACAGGGGAGTAACATCAGGTCACAATTACCGTGTATACATCAGGGAGTAACATCAGGTCACAATTACTGTGTATACAATAGGGGAGTAACATCAGGTCACAATTACTGTGTATACAACAGGGGAGTAACATCAGGTCACAATTACTGTGTATACAACAGGGGAGTAACATCAGGTCACAATTACTGTGTATATAAGAGGGGAGTAACATCAGGTCACAATTACTGTGTATATAACAGGGGAGTAACATCAGGTCACAATTACTGTGTATATAACAGGGGAGTAACATCAGGTCACAATTACTGTGTATATAACAGGGGAGTAACATCAGGTCACAATTACTGTGTATACAACAGGGGAGTAACATCAGGTCACAATTACTATGTATATAACAGGGGAGTAACATCAGGTCACAATTACTGTGTATATAACAGGGGAGTAACATCAGGTCACAATTACTGTGTATATAACAGGGGAGTAACATCAGGTCACAATTACTGTGTATATAACAGGGGAGTAACATCAGGTCACAATTACTGTGTATACAACAGGGGAGTAACATCAGGTCACAATTACTGTGTATACAACAGGGGAGTAACATCAGGTCACAATTACTGTGTATACAACAGGGGAGTAACATCAGGTCACAATTACTGTGTATACAACAGGGAAGTAACATCAGGTCACAATTACTGTGTATACAACAGGGGAGTAACATCAGGTCACAATTACTGTGTATACAACAGGGGAGTAACATCAGGTCACAATTACTGTGTATACAACAGGGGAGTAACATCAGGTCACAATTACTGTGTATACAACAGGGAGTAACATCAGGTCACAATTACTGTGTATACAACAGGGGAGTAACATCAGGTCACAATTACTGTGTATATAAGAGGGGAGTAACATCAGGTCACAATTACTGTGTGTATATAAGGGGAGTAACATCAGGTCACAATTACTGTGTATATAACAGGGGAGTAACATCAGGTCACAATTACTGTGTATATAACAGGGGAGTAACATCAGGTCACAATTACTGTGTATAGAACAGGGAGTAACATCAGGTCACAATTACTGTGTATAGAACAGGGGAGTAACATCAGGTCACAATTACTATGTATATAACAGGGGAGTAACATCAGGTCACAATTACTGTGTATATAACAGGGAGTAACATCAGGTCACAATTACTGTGTATATAACAGGGGAGTAACATCAGGTCACAATTACTGTGTATACAACAGGGGAGTAACATCAGGTCACAATTACTGTGTATACAACAGGGGAGTAACATCAGGTCACAATTACTGTGTATACAACAGGGGAGTAACATCAGGTCACAATTACTGTGTATATAACAGGGGAGTAACATCAGGTCACAATTACTATGTATATAACAGGGGAGTAACATCAGGTCACAATTACTGTGTATATAACAGGGGAGTAACATCAGGTCACAATTACTGTGTTTATAACGGGAGTACCAGCCTCAATATGTGTCTGTCATGTTATCTGCCTCAGGATGGACCTATGTTATGAGAAGTCCTCCAAACTGCTGGCACAGCTGATGTCAGGGACCCCCCAGGAAGCTGACCCCGACAACTACGTCTACTGCATGGCAGGCTGTGACGGCTACGGTATGCAGTTTAGACATCTCTTCTTGGAATCACATCTCTACTTGTACATTAACAAGCGCATGACATCGCAGAAGGAATGGACACACTGCTTAAATGTACTCAAAGCGTCAGTGTGCATCACTGGAGAAGTATTTATGTTATCAAGCAAACCTCTTGCTTGTGCCCACTCACACGTTACACAATACTCTGTCATTGTTTTATTTGGTTTCCCTGAAGTGTACAAGGGGGAAGTTTGTCATTGTATGTAGCTTAATATGTGAGTGCTGTGTGGAGTTATTTCACCTTCATACCCAGTGTACATTACTAGCAGAAATGGTTGGAGTTGTCTCCCCTGTCACCTTGTGAATGGTACAATGAAAGCAGAAACTATTTAAGTGAGTCTTTTTGAACAAATGATCAAATCAGTTAAAACATTTCCGTTAAATGTTTCATTATTTTAATATTTTTTTATAGGAACTTATTTCTATTTTACTTGTAAACTACGCACACATGCCCACTTGTTTGAGGTTTTCTTTAAGTATATGTGTAATGGCAACACCTGAGTTTGTGTTTGGTCTGCAGGTGTGCGGAGTGCTCTGACCGTGCTGGACATCGCTGCCTATGTCAACCTTGCCCGTCTGGTCCAGCAGAATTTCTCATCCAAAAACTACATCCACCGGAAGGGGCCATTCAGGGTCAGTGTTTGTTCGCTGAATTTTACTTGTGTATGCATAATGCCTTATACCCTGGGCAGTCCCAGTTCTGTATGGATAAAAGATATGGAAATATGGAAAAAAACAAGAACAAATCCATGTACATACATTTAAGCCACCCAAAGGGTGGTGAGACCCTAAAGGAATTACCTCTGAGACTGCTAGACAAGAAACTAGTATTTGATCTGCTGCATGGGATTTATCTGGGAAATATTAAAAAACACATTAATCCTTAATAATTCCGAAAATATTTGTATTAACCCTTTTCTGTGATATCGCTACAACTTGTACTGTACAACTGTTCCCCCAGATCGGAGTGTGTATGATGATTGTTGGGTCATGTCTGTTTTAACTGTGTTCTGTGATATCGCTACAACTTGTACTGTACAACTGTTCCCCCAGATTGGAGTGTGTATGGGGATTGTGGGGTCATGTCTGTTGTAACTGTAGTGATATCGCTACAACTTGTACTGTACAACTGTCCCCCAGATTGGAGTGTGTATGGGGATTGTGGGGTCATGTCTGTTGTAACTGTGTTCTGTGATATCGCTACAACTTGTACTGTACAACTGTCCCCCAGATCGGAGTGTGTATGGGGATTGTGGGGTCGTGTCTGTTGTAACTGTGTTCTGTGATATCGCTACAACTTGTACTGTACAACTGTTCCCCCAGATTGGAGTGTGTATGGGGATTGTGGGGTCATGTCTGTTGTAACTGTGTTCTGTGATATCCCTACAACTTGTACTGTACAACTGTCCCCCAGATCGGAGTGTGTATGGGGATTGTGGGGTCGTGTCTGTTGTAACTGTGTTCTGTGATATCGCTACAACTTGTACTGTACAACTGTTCCCCAGATCGGAGTGTGTATGGGGATTGTTGGGTCGTGTCTGTTGTAACTGTGTTCTGTGATATCGCTACAACTTGTACTGTACAACTGTCCCCCAGATCGGAGTGTGTATGGGGATTGTGGGGTCATGTCTGCTGTAACTGTGTTCTGTGATATCGCTACAACTTGTACTGTACAACTGTTCCCCAGATCGGAGTGTGTATGGGGATTGTTGGGTCATGTCTGTTGTAACTGTGTTATGTGATATCACTACAACTTGTACTGTACAACTGTTCCCCAGATCGGAGTGTGTATGGGGATTGTGGGGTCATGTCTGTTGTAACTGTGTTCTGTGATATCACTACAACTTGTTCTGTACAACTGTTCCCCAGATCGGAGTGTGTATGGGGATTGTGGGGTCATGTCTGTTGTAACTGTGTTCTGTGATATCACTACAACTTGTACTGTACAACTGTTCCCCCAGATCGGAGTGTGTGTATGGGGATTGTGGGGTCATGTCTGTTGTAACTGTGTTCTGTGATATCACTACAACTTGTACTGTACAACTGTACCCCAGATCGGAGTGTGTATGGGGATTGTGGGGTCGTGTCTGCTGTAACTGTGTTCTGTGATATATCGCTACAACTTGTACTGTACAACTGTCCCCCAGATCGGAGTGTGTATGGGGATTGTGGGGTCGTGTCTGTTGTAACTGTGTTCTGTGATATCGCTACAACTTGTACTGTACAACTGTCCCCCAGATAGGAGTGTGTATGGGGATTGTGGGGTCATGTCTGTTGTAACTGTGTTCTGTGATATCGCTACAACTTGTACTGTACAACTGTCCCCAGATCGGAGTGTGTATGGGGATTGTGGGGTCATGTCTGTTGTAACTGTGTTCTGTGATATCACTACAACTTGTACTGTACAACTGTCCCCCAGATCGGAGTGTGTATGGGGATTGTGGGGTCGTGTCTGTTGTAACTGTGTTCTGTGATATCGCTACAACTTGTACTGTACAACTGTTCCCCAGATCGGAGTGTGTATGGGGATTGTTGGGTCATGTCTGTTGTAACTGTGTTCTGTGATATCGCTACAACTTGTACTGTACAACTGTCCCCCAGATCGGAGTGTGTATGGGGATTGTTGGGTCATGTCTGTTGTAACTGTGTTCTGTGATATCGCTACAACTTGTACTGTACAACTGTTCCCCAGATCGGAGTGTGTATGGGGATTGTTGGGTCATGTCTGTTGTAACTGTGTTCTGTCATATAGGTACAACCTGTACTGTACAACTGTTCCCCCAGATCGGAGTGTGTATGGGGATTGTGGGGTCGTGTCTGTTGTAACTGTGTTCTGTGATATCACTACAACTTGTACTGTACAACTGTTCCCCAGATCGGAGTGTGTATGGGGATTGTGGGGTCGTCTCTGTTGTAACTGTGTTCTGTGATATCCCTACAACTTGTACTGTACAACTGTTCCCCAGATCAGGTGTGTGTATGGGGATTGTGGGGTCATGTGTGTTGTAACTGTGTTCTGTGATATCGCTACAACTTGTACTGTACAACTGTCCCCAGATCGGAGGTGTGTATGGGGATTGTTGGGTCATGTCTGTTGTAACTGTGTTCTGTGATATCCCTACAACTTGTACTGTACAACTGTCCCCAGATCGGAGTGTGTATGGGGATTGTGGGGTCATGTCTGTTGTAACTGTGTTCTGTGATATCGCTACAACTTGTACTGTACAACTGTCCCCAGATCGGAGTGTGTGTGGGGATTGTTGGGTCATGTGTGTTGTAACTGTGTTCTGTGATATCCCTACAACTTGTACTGTACAACTGTCCCCAGATTGGAGTGTGTATGGGGATTGTGGGGTCATGTCTGTTGTAACTGTGTTCTGTGATATCGCTACAACTTGTACTGTACAACTGTCCCCAGATCGGAGTGTGTATGGGGATTGTTGGGTCATGTTGTTGTAACTGTGTTCTGTGATATCCCTACAACTTGTACTGTACAACTGTCCCCCAGATCGGAGTGTGTATGGGGATTGTGGGGTCATGTGTGTTGTAACTGTGTTCTGTGATATTGCTACAACTTGTACTGTACAACTGTCCCCAGATCGGAGTGTGTATGGGGATTGTTGGGTCATGTCTGTTGTAACTGTGTTCTGTGATATCGCTACAACTTGTACTGTACAACTGTCCCCCAGATCGGAGTGTGTATGGGGATTGTGGGGTCGTGTCTGTTGTAACTGTGTTCTGTGATATCGCTACAACTTGTACTGTACAACTGTCCCCCAGATCGGAGTGTGTATGGGGATTGTGGGGTCATGTCTGTTGTAACTGTGTTCTGTGATATCCCTACAACTTGTACTGTACAACTGTCCCCAGATCGGAGTGTGTATGGGGATTGTGGGGTCATGTCTGTTGTAACTGTGTTCTGTGATATCACTACAACTTGTACTGTACAACTGTCCCCAGATCGGAGTGTGTATGGGGATTGTGGGGTCATGTCTGTTGTAACTGTGTTCTGTGATATCCCTACAACTTGTACTGTACAACTGTCCCCAGATCGGAGTGTGTATGGGGATTGTGGGGTCATGTCTGTTGTAACTGTGTTCTGTGATATCCCTACAACTTGTACTGTACAACTGTCCCCCAGATCGGTGTGTGTATGGGGATTGTGGGGGTCATGTCTGTTGTAACTGTGTTCTGTGATATCGCTACAACTTGTACTGTACAACTGTCCCCCAGATCGGAGTGTGTATGGGGATTGTGGGGTCGTGTCTGTTGTAACTGTGTTCTGTGATATCGCTACAACTTGTACTGTACAACTGTTCCCCAGATCGGAGTGTGTATGGGGATTGTGGGGTCATGTCTGTTGTAACTGTGTTCTGTGATATCGCTACAACTTGTACTGTACAACTGTCCCCCAGATCGGAGTGTGTATGGGGATTGTGGGGTCGTGTCTGCTGTAACTGTAGTGATATCGCTACAACTTGTACTGTACAACTGTCCCCCAGATCGGAGTGTGTATGGGGATTGTGGGGTCGTGTCTGTTGTAACTGTGTTCTGTGATATCGCTACAACTTGTACTGTACAACTGTCCCCCAGATCGGAGTGAGTATGGGGATTGTGGGGTCGTGTCTGTTGTAACTGTGTTCTGTGATATAGGTACAACCTGTACTGTACAACTGTCCCCCAGATCGGAGTGTGTATGGGGATTGTGGGGTCGTGTCTGCTGTAACTGTGTTCTGTGATATATCGCTACAACTTGTACTGTACAACTGTTCTCCAGATCGGGTGTGTATGGGGATTGTGGGGGTCGTGTCTGTTGTAACTGTGTGTTCTGTGATATCGCTACAACTTGTACTGTACAACTGTCCCCCAGATCGGAGTGTGTATGGGGATTGTGGGGTCGTGTCTGCTGTAACTGTGTTCTGTGATATCGCTACAACTTGTACTGTACAACTGTTCCCCCAGATCGGAGTGTGTATGGGGATTGTGGGGTCGTGTCTGTTGTAACTGTGTTCTGTGATATCGCTACAACTTGTACTGTACAACTGTCCCCCAGATCGGAGTGTGTATGGGGATTGTGGAGGGGTCGTGTCTGTTGTAACTGTAGTGATATCGCTACAACTTGTACTGTACAACTGTCCCCCAGATCGGAGTGTGTATGGGGATTGTGGGGTCATGTCTGTTGTAACTGTGTTCTGTGATATCGCTACAACTTGTACCGTACAACTGTTCCCCAGATTGGAGTGTGTATGGGGATTGTGGGGTCATGTCTGTTGTAACTGTGTTCTGTGATATCGCTACAACTTGTACTGTACAACTGTTCCCCAGATTGGAGTGTGTGTATGGGGATTGGGGGTCTATCTGTTGTAACTGTGTGTTCTGTGATATCCCTACAACTTGTACTGTACAACTGTCCCCCAGATCGAGAGTGTGTATGGGGATTGTGGGGTCAGCGTCTGTTGTAACTGTGTTCTGTGATATCCCTACAACTTGTACCGTACAACTATTCCCCAGATCGGAGTGTATGGGGATTGTTGGGTCGTGTCTGTTGTAACTGTGTTCTGTGATATCCCTACAACTTGCTGTACAACTATTCCCCAGATCGGAGTGTGTATGGGGATTGTGGGGTCTGTCTG